AGTTATGTCCTGGAGTTTGTATTGATAAAGCCACTGGAGGGCGAAACGTCTACAAAAAAACATACCCAGGTGTTCCACATGTGTCTTCCATTTTCTTCCACTGAGAAAAAGGACGAAAACATTTGAGAAAGCTTTAGACAATACCTTGAAACCGGGGATTTTTTCCTCAGAATGATGTCTGACTCAGCATTTAAAACATTCCACTTTGTATATGTCTAAGTAATTAGTCGTTAATGGAGGGTTTAAAGCCTATCGACTGCATCAGAGTCATTAAGGCTGCCCATTATCTTCTCAACACTAGACTAGAATACTTTACTTCCTTTTAATGGCGATTTAAGTAAAAACTCAGCATATATAAGATGATAGGTGTATCCCGTATCCCCTGCCTCTCAATGTATCCCCTGCCTCTCAGTGTATGTATCCCCTGCCTCTCAGTGTATGTATCCCCTGCCTCTCAATGTATCCCCTGCCTCTCAATGTATCCCCTGCCTCTCAGTGTATTCCCTGCCTCTCAATGTATCCCCTGCCTCTCAGTGTATGTATCCCCTGCCTCTCAATGTATCCCCTGCCTCTCAGTGTATGTGTCCCCTGCCTCTCAATGTATCCCCTGCCTCTCAATGTATCCCCTGCCTCCCAGTGTATGCATCCCCTGACTCTCAGTGTATGTATCCCCTGACTCTCAGTGTATGTATCCCCTGCCTCTCAGTGTATGTATCCCCTGCCTCTCAATGTATCCCCTGCCTCCCAGTGTATGTATCCCCTGCCTCCCAGTGTATGCATCCCCTGACTCTCAGTGTATGCATCCCCTGACTCTCAGTGTATGTATCCCCTGACTCTCAGTGTATGTATCCCCTGCCTCTCAGTGTATGTATCCCCTGCCTCTCAATGTATCCCCTGCCTCCCAGTGTATGTATCCCCTGACTCTCAGTGTATGTATCCCCTGACTCTCAGTGTATGTATCCCCTGCCTCCCAGTGTATGCATCCCCTGACTCTCAGTGTATGCATCCCCTGACTCTCAGTGTATGTATCCCCTGCCTCTCAGTGTATGTGTCCCCTGCCTCTCAATGTATCCCCTGCCTCTCAATGTATCCCCTGCCTCCCAGTGTATGCATCCCCTGACTCTCAGTGTATGTATCCCCTGACTCTCAGTGTATGTATCCCCTGCCTCTCAGTGTATGTATCCCCTGCCTCTCAATGTATCCCCTGCCTCCCAGTGTATGTATCCCCTGCCTCCCAGTGTATGCATCCCCTGACTCTCAGTGTATGCATCCCCTGACTCTCAGTGTATGTATCCCCTGACTCTCAGTGTATGTATCCCCTGCCTCTCAGTGTATATATCCCCTGCCTCTCAATGTATCCCCTGCCTCCCAGTGTATGTATCCCCTGCCTCCCAGTGTATGTATCCCCTGACTCTCAGTGTATGCATCCCCTGACTCTCAGTGTATGTATCCCCTGACTCTCAGTGTATGTATCCCCTGCCTCTCAGTGTATATATCCCCTGCCTCTCAATGTATCCCCTGCCTCCCAGTGTATGTATCCCCTGACTCTCAGTGTATGTATCCCCTGACTCTCAGTGTATGTATCCCCTGCCTCCCAGTGTATGCATCCCCTGACTCTCAGTGTATCCATCCCCTGACTCTCAGTGTATGTATCCCCTGCCTCTCAGTGTATGTGTCCCCTGCCTCTCAATGTATCCCCTGCCTCTTAATGTATCCCCTGCCTCCCAGTGTATGCATCCCCTGACTCTCAGTGTATGTATCCCCTGACTCTCAGTGTATGTATCCCCTGCCTCTCAGTGTATGTATCCCCTGCCTCTCAATGTATCCCCTGCCTCCCAGTGTATGTATCCCCTGCCTCCCAGTGTATGCACCCCCTGACTCTCAGTGTATGCATCCCCTGACTCTCAGTGTATGTATCCCCTGACTCTCAGTGTATGTATCCCCTGCCTCTCAGTGTATGTATCCCCTGCCTCTCAATGTATCCCCTGCCTCCCAGTGTATGTATCCCCTGACTCTCAGTGTATGTATCCCCTGACTCTCAGTGTATGTATCCCCTGCCTCCCAGTGTATGCATCCCCTGACTCTCAGTGTATGCATCCCCTGACTCTCAGTGTATGTATCCCCTGCCTCTCAGTGTATGTATCCCCTGCCTCTCAATGTATCCCCTGCCTCCCAGTGTATGTATCCCCTGACTCTCAGTGTATGTATCCCCTGACCCTCAGTGTATGTATCCCCTGACTCTCAGTGTATGTATCCCCTGACTCTCAGTGTATGTATCCCCTGACCCTCAGTGTATGTATCCCCTGACCCTCAGTGTATATATCCCCTGACTCTCAGTGTATATATCCCCTGACCCTCAGTGTATATATCCCCTGACTCTCAGTGTATATATCCCCTGACTCTCAGTGTATGTATCCCCTGACTCTCAGTGTATATATCCCCTGACTCTCAGTGTATATATCCCCTGACTCTCAGTGTATGTACCCCTGACTCTCAGTGTATGTATCCCCTGACTCTCAGTGTATATATCCCCTGACTCTCAGTGTATATATCCCCTGACTCTCAGTGTATGTATCCCCTGACTCTCAGTGTATGTATCCCCTGACTCTCAGTGTATGTATCCCCTGACTCTCAGTGTATATATCCCCTGACTCTCAGTGTATATATCCCCTGACTCTCAGTGTATATATCCCCTGACTCTCAGTGTATGTATCCCCTGACTCTCAGTGTATATATCCCCTGACTCTCAGTGTATATATACCCTGACTCTCAGTGTATATATCCCCTGACTCTCAGTGTATGTATCCCCTGACTCTCAGTGTATATATCCCCTGACTCTCAGTGTATATATCCCCTGACTCTCAGTGTATATATCCCCTGACTCTCAGTGTATATATCCCCTGACCCTCAGTGTATATATCCCCTGACCCTCAGTGTATATATCCCCTGACTCTCAGTGTATATATCCCCTGACTCTCAGTGTATGTATCCCCTGACTCTCAGTGTATATATCCCCTGACTCTCAGTGTATATATCCCCTGACTCTCAGTGTATATATCCCCTGACTCTCAGTGTATATATCCCCTGACCCTCAGTGTATATATCCCCTGACCCTCAGTGTATATATCCCCTGACTCTCAGTGTATATATCCCCTGACTCTCAGTGTATATATCCCCTGACTCTCAGTGTATATATCCCCTGACCCTCAGTGTATATATCCCCTGACTCTCAGTGTATATATCCCCTGACTCTCAGTGTATATATCCCCTGACCCTCATGTATATATCCCCTGACCCTCAGTGTATATATCCCCTGACTCTCAGTGTATATATCCCCTGACCCTCAGTGTATATATCCCCTGACCCTCAGTGTATATATCCCCTGACCCTCAGTGTATATATCCCCTGACTCTCAGTGTATATATCCCCTGACCCTCAGTGTATATATCCCCTGACTCTCAGTGTATATATCCCCTGACTCTCAGTGTATATATCCCCTGACCCTCAGTGTATATATCGCCTGACTCTCAGTGTATATATCCCCTGACCCTCAGTGTATATATCCCCTGACTCTCAGTGTATATATCCCCTGACCCTCAGTGTATATATCCCCTGACTCTCAGTGTATATATCCCCTGACCCTCAGTGTATATATCCCCTGACCCTCAGTGTATATATCCCCTGACCCTCAGTGTATATATCCCCTGACTCTCAGTGTATATATCCCCTGACCCTCAGTGTATATATCCCCTGACCCTCAGTGTATATATCCCCTGACCCTCAGTGTATATATCCCCTGACTCTCAGTGTATGTATCATCTGCCTCTCAGTGTATGTGAATGTGAGGGAAAAGTTCAATAGATAGGAGTAGAGAGGGAGTATATAGTAACAATAGTTTCATTGCCGGCTACTTGTTAAGGTAGGGTAAGTCCAGCTCCGGCTATCCCTTCCCCTCCTTCTTCCCCCCCCCCCCTCGAAAGGTGACGTGTGGGGCTCTGGTCAAACAGTAATCACTAGACTCACAGCTCCCAACACTACTGTAAGTACATGCCTGCCTTGTATTCTAGTGGATTTATTGGTTAAAAGCTTCACTTTTGATCAATAATAAACTTAGTCCTTTCAGTCTTGCTCTAGGTTGACTGTTGTAATAATCACCACATCTTTTAGGTATTGTACTTATCATGGAGAGTGATTTCTTAAGCAGTGGGTAACCTGTCTATCTTTCCAGCTTGGATGACAGAGAGGGTCACCTGCCAATCAACGAGCAGAACTGATGGAGATGGACTAACGTCCTGAGACTTCCCCATTTTGGATTTAATTACCTGTGCACCTGTATGAAATTGCAGGACGTAACCCCACATCATTGCAGCGGTAAAAAACCTGCTTTCCTGTCATCGGGATAGAATACTCACGGCGATACTCTGTGAAGAACTAGCCGGTGGTGATCACCAACTCCTGCGACCCCCTCCCCCCCACATCAGCAACGGCTACGATTTCAACAACACTCAGTGTCACCAACACCAGACACCCCTATATATATTAGCGTTGAGTTCAAATGTTATTTTATTCATTTCATTTTTCATTTTTCTTTCAAATAGGATATACCTGTCATGTTTTATTGTTTTATGTTTGATTTAATAAATAATAAAGTGTTTATCTTTGTGAATTATTATTTCTTTTTCTATTCATTAATTTTCCTGAGGAGGAGCCAGCCTGAGTAATACTGACTGAAGTTGTTACAGGGCTGAGTAAGCCTTCACAGTGAATATGTACTGTGAAAATTACACATCGGTATGTGTGTTCAGCCACACTCTTATCACCTCAGTTCTCCCTTAAGAGAGACACTGTTTCAGAGAACGTTGAAAAATATTACCTTCGTATCATGACTCGATTTTATGTAGTTGTACAATTTCTGAATAATCTTGAACGACACACAAAACTGAAATCACAAAAATAATTCTTCTAAACCACGAGAAAAGGATAACATTGTAGGAACTCACTGATGACTGTGAGGTTGGTTCTAGCGTTCCTGGTGGGACTCTTCTTGAAGTCAACGCGGCAGCGGTACAGACCCTCGTCACTGGCCCGCACGTTGTCTAAGACGAGCGAAGCTGGTGACGACTGCAAGTCGAAGTGACCACGACCGCCCAGCGTCTTCTCGTCCGCCCAGTTTCTTGCGTCCAGGAGACTGTGCTTCCGCGAGTCGTAGCTGGCAGGGAAGAGAAACATTCTCATTGCTATGTAATATAATTTAGTATTACTACAGTCTGTGGTGACTACTGTTAATTACACGGTAAAAACACCCGAAGTGCGTAGCTATAATATTCAGTGTTATATTCGAGCTAATGCACTGTGTGGCTATACTAACGTATATGATTTACATGGTGGGAACACCTGCTGTGTTTGTTACTGCACTATTTTATATGAAAGATTGTGGAAATACCCACAATGTGCTGCTATGTTTTATATAAGTTACTATGAGTTAAAATATTTGACAATTTTCATTTTATTTACCACGAGAGAGGACTGGTCTCACACATGACGTAATGAGTTTCACTGTGGCTTCAGTAGCTTCGTAAACTTTGAAGCTTCCCGTGTGTCCAGGCTGGAGTTACTGTTGTGTGTCAACTTCCATCACAGTACCAGAGGCACCAGTAACTTTTTTGTTCACTTTTCGCTATTTTTTCCCTTCAATCTACTCTGTGATACATGTTTCATCGAGCCAACTGCTAACACATCCACTAACAAATGTCTTAAGATATTTTGCTTATTTCAAGTCTGTCCACAACCTTTCATTGTGATACATGTTTCATCGAGCCAACTGCTAACACATCCACTAACAAATGCCTTAAGATATTTTGCTTATTTCAAGTCTGTCCACAACCTTTCATTCTCTAGAAACTTGTTCCCATCACCTTCCTCTTTGCACTGCTCAATTTCTTCTTTATTTTATACTCACTTTCAAACTCCTCCATCAACTTCTTAAAATACTCTTTAAATCTCAGCAAATCCGTGTCCTAAACAACAACAACAACAACTCCCACTTTATATCTGATGAACTAAATATCAAGATGGCACCAATGACTTATCTTAGCATTCACTTCTTTTAGGTAAATTTATATAAAAACAAACAACCAGAGGGATATTACACTTTTTTTTTTTTTGGCCACTAAAAAAATACAGATGTGTAGTGCATTGGTGATATAATATACGTTCCCCTCACCAACAGTTTCCTTAAACCTAAACAATTCGTAAAATAAGAGAATATATTGTGTAGGACATGGCGGATCTACTTTAAAACTAAGGAAGCTTAAGCTTGAGGGCCCCTAATCACGGAGGGGCCCCACAAGCCACTTTAGTCCACATTGTTTAAAAATTTTGGGTCAACTGTACGAGAAGGGTCCTTAAAAATAATATAATGTAATTCAGTACAGTCAAAATAAAACTTAAAAGGTTATTAAAATAACATATAGGCCTAGCTGTTGTAGGCCTAGATGTTACTGGTTGTGACGGAGACGTAGGTCCGTCACTAGTGGAGGGTAAGTCAGAGGTGACGGGCTCAGTTGTAGTATCTGTCAGCTCACCTGACCACAGTGTCCAGCAAGATTATTTTGGCCACTATTTTTGATATGTTAATAGCCTTTATATTTTGCATAACTGTAATACCGAGATATATGTTGACTGTTTCTGTTGGGTAAACAAGCAGAAAAGTGTGTGTACTGTGATGTAACGTAAGTTTGTGAAAATTTCACTATGTTACAGTGTCTGGTAAGAGGATTATTGGTTATATTTAATGTACGAACATGAGCCAGTAAAGCTACCGGCTCATGCTAGGTAGGTCCTTCTTAATTTCAACCTGTCTCTTTATATTTATGGAATATTTTACCGATAAGCTGACAAATAAAATACCAATGCATAACACATGGGCATCTTGACCAAAGAAACGTACGAGAGACAGAGGAAACATAGAGAGAGGAAACATATAGAGAGGAAACAGAGAGAGAGAGAGAGAGAGAGAGAGAGAGAGAGAGAGAGAGAGAGAGAGAGAGACAGAGATCCTTGAGACAATAATCTCAAGACAAATGACAGAGTTTTTTGACTATCACTCACTACTTTGTGATGGTCAATATGGCTTCGGGAAAGGTTACTCTGCTGCTGATCTGTTGTTAAACCTCTCCACTAAGTGGCACCAGTCACTGGATGAATCCATGAATCCCATGAATGGGAGGGTGTTGGCACCTGGAGAAGTTGATATCCTTGGGGTGAAATTTGACTCCAAACTAACCATGAAGAACCATGTTGTAAATCTTGCAAACAAGGCAGCCAGGAAGCTTACAGCACTTCGCCGTATCTCGCATCTGCTTGACAGTAGGGGTTGCAAGATTCTGTACGAGGCACAAGTACGCTCGCACCTTGAGTATGCTCCACTTTCTTGGTTTGCCTGCCCCCCCTCTCATCTGCGACTGCTTGACAGAGTAGAGAACAGAGCGAGACGTCTTATCTCTCGCCTGGACCCATCCTGGATAGATCTGTCATTTCAGCAGAGCCTTCAACATAGGAGCGATGTGGGTGGCCTTACTGTTATGTACAAGGCCAATATTGTCAAAGTACCACACTTGGATCCACTTCGAGGACAGCGTGAAACAAGCTTTTATGCCACAAGACGGGCAGAAAGCAGCATCTTCACTCTGGCTGTACCCTTCTCCAGAACATCACTCCATCTGAGATCATACATACCCAGGATGACTCGAGTATGGAACACATTTGTACAGCATAATGATGTCAACGAGATAAAGTCAGTTGATCAAATGAAAATGCTGGCCCACAGATGGCTCCAACTTCATCCTGTTCCCTACTTGTATGTCTCATAACAATAAAAATGCTTTCGAATGAGCTGATGTAGGTAACAGCTCTTAGCTTGTCAATAAAGTTAGGAATCCTTAACCTGTAAATAGCCGTCAATAAAGCTAGGGATCCTTAACCTTGTCAAACCCTGTGCAAAAAAAAGAGAGAGGCGGAAAGGTAATTTTGAGGTGTTCAGTCTCTCAGCCTTTAAGGATTTCAATCCCTTAGCTTTGACAAACCTAAAACAGACTCATAGGGATGGAGACTAGTATACCTTAACAACAACAAGGGGCACTAAAACTGATCCTTGTGGAACGCCGCTTGTGACTGATCCCCCACTCTGACTTCACCTCATTCATTCATTCAAGGTTCTCTATATTAGTTACGCCTCAATCCACGAGTGAGGAAGACATCTGCTGCCTCTCTCACAGTCTTCTGTATGCAACTGTCATCAACCTTCGTGAAGCAGAAAATGTTGATTAACACTGATGTGTAACTGAGACACATCTGGAGTATTCTGGGTATTTAATAAAATGTTTTCCCAACCAGTGACTTTATCAATCTAACACAGACAAGAGTAAGTATGGTGCGTCAGATCAGATGTGTCAGAATAGGTGTGTCAGAACAGGTGTATCAGAACAGGTGTGTCAGAACAGGTGTGTCAGAACAGATGTGTCAGATCAGGTGTGTCAGATCAGGTGTGTCAGATGAGGTGTGTCAGATCAGGTGTGGCATAATAAGTGGCGTTCCACAGGGATCAGTCTTCTGTAACAAGTGGCGTTCCACAGGGATCAATCTTGGGCCCGTTGTTGTTTATAATATATATCAATGATCTTGATGAGGGAATTACTAGTGATATGAGCAAATTCGCCGATGACACGAAGATAGGTAGGATAATTGATTCAAACGTAGATGTTAGGGAACTTCAGAAGGATTTAGACAAACTCTGTTCTTGGTCAGAAAAGTGGCAGATGCAGTTCAATGTAGATAAATGCAAGGTTCTGAAGCTTGGGAGCGCCCATAACCCTAGCACTTGTTAAATAATGTAGAACTTAGCCATACAGATTGCGAAAAGGACTTGGGGGTTATGGTGAGCAGCAACCTTAAACCAAGACAGCAATGCCTAAGCGTACGTAATAAGGCAAATAGATTACTGGGATTTATATCAAGAAGTGTAAGCAACAGAAGTCCAGAGGTCATACTGCAGCTTTATACATCATTAGTAAGGCCTCACCTAGATTATGCAGCTCAATTCTGGTCTCCATATTACAGAATGGACATAAATTCGTTAGAAAACATTCAGCGTAGGATGACTAAATTAATACATAGCATTAGAAATCTTCCTTATGAAGAAAGATTGAAGACTCTTAAGTTACATTCACTTGTTAGACGAAGAATGAGGGGAGACCTGATCGAAGTGTATAAGTGGAAGATAGGTATTAATAAAGGGGATATTAATAAGGTCTTGAGGATGTCTCTCCAAGAGAGAACCCGCAGTAATGGATTTAAATTAGATAAGTTTAGATTTAGAAAGGACATAGGAAAGTACTGGTTTGGAAATAGGGTAGTTGATGAGTGGAACAGTCTACCTAGTTGGGTTATTGAGGCTAGGACTTTGGGTAGTTTCAAATTTAGGTTGGATAAGTACATGAGTGGGAGGGGTTGGATTTGAGTGGGACTTTCACATCAGAGCTTATTTCTTGGGTGGCATTGAAAATTGGGTTGTTCAAATGTTTGTTAGTGGGATGAATTGTAAAGGACCTGCTTAGTATGGGCCAACAGGCCTGCTGCAGTGTTCCTCCTTTCTTATGTTCTTATGTGTGTCAGAACAGGTGTATCAGATCAGGTACTACAGCGGAGCTAGGTGATGGCTGTGTTCTGCTTGGCTAGGATTTGTAGGGTGAGAATTTGTGATATTTTAAAACTACCCCTAACTGCACCTAACCTGATCCTCTGTTAGCTGTACAAGTTTGTCAAAGCCACTGCTTGGTTAAACCTCAATACATGCGCTAATTTCTTACGCAGTCTTAACAAAGAACATACAAACATTGTATACTGTATCAGAGTCCACTGGCAAGACCGCGTCCTTATGGATGCGTGTTGAGATTCATTAACGAAATTATACTCATCATTCCGGGGGTTATTATATCGACTATTACTGAGCCTAATAATTTGTCGAATATTCAGGTCAGGCTTATTGGGCGATAATTTGTCTAATCTACTGAGCTGAAGACAGGAATTACAGTAGCTATTTTTCACGATACCCCTTTGGAGGGGTATATTGAGGAAGCTAGTAGAATAGCAGTAATTGTATACAATACCGACGTGGTGATGAATAAGATACCTTTACGTAGGCTGAAGGGA